GCACAGTATTGGAATACAAACTCCCCCCGTTTGGAACAAAAAAAAACAAAAACAGACATTCAGGAGGTGACAGCATACTCTACTACAGCTCAACATCTGTGTCTGGGATTGGGCACCACACAATTGTCAAATTGGGAGCAGCAGATATGTCCATGCAGCTGCTGCATCCCAATTGATGTGAATAGGACTGCCTGCATGAAAATGCACAGAGCACCTGTGCATCCCTGTGCGTGAAATGCTGTTCTCACAAGGGTAAATGACCAGCTTCTGTTGAACGGTCTTGTTGGAAAACCAGCATTCGATCAGCGCTTGCATGGGGGAAGAAACTCCCCGTCACATAATACCATAGCACAGCGGTAGATATCTCATCACACTTCGGGGATTCTCGGGAATCTGTCAGTTTGTTTTCATTCAACCCTCTGGTTGAACAAAAAAAAAAAAAACTGAATGTGTATACCCAGACTTACTCTCCTATCAACTATCCATCCTATTATGTTCCTTATTAGCACATGCAATGATTGGCTGCGTGTGCTCATTCTCCCTCCCCCAGTCAGAGCTCTGCTGTACAGGTACTGCAAAAGGCTGATACTAAGTCAAATTCAGGCACTACATGCATTAAAAAAATAAATTTAAATATGCATCAATGATTACAGAGCTGTGTCCTTTAAATCTCATAGAAATTCATCCTTTACAATCCATTTTTAATTTCTATTGTAGGAATACACAGAACTGTTCACATTAGTACACTTGCCATTTCCCATCTTTCCTTTCCACAGTGGTTTGCCGGAACTCTTTGAGAAATGTTGACTTTTTATACACAGCAGCCAATGTAAAATGTAGGTAGGTAAAGATGGGAGATAAAACCTTGGCCAGTTCATTATTATATCATTCGCCTTCCTGTATACTATTCAGCATCAGATTTCTATAGATACTATGAAAGGAAGCTGAAAATAAAACCTGGTAAATGCATTTCCCAGAAGGCAGCAAGCTTGTAATGCATTCTTTTGTGGAATCCATTTTCAATCACAATTGGACATGTCTGAATCTTTAGAGACTTGTATATACAATAGATATTTCTTTATGAATTCATTACTATATAAAAAGAAAAAGTCTCTGCTCAGTAACTGCTATGAGAGGAGAGGAGGCATTTCTCAGTCTTGCACAGCAAGCGTTAAAGAGTATTTTATGGGGCTGCTGAGTACATATTGTGGTGGAGATGGCTTCCCTGTATGTTTTAAAAATAACGTTCCATGTATTAGAAAAGCAAAATTGTGGTTTACAAATAAAATATTTACAATAGAACACTCCACCTTTTTACTATGTCCCTATAAGGATTTTGGTCCTTGAACATGCTCATAAAAAAAAGTTCTGGATGAGCAGCCTTTTCTATTTTCCTTTAAGGTCTTTTTCCCACAGGCACTCCGATCCAGTCCACCTGTCAGTCATCAAATTAGAAAGAATCACGCCATGGATCAGAATCCATGTTAGTCTATGGGTGGGAAGATATAAATGGACTCTCCTCTGACTCAGAACATGGATCAGAATTCATGTTAGTCTATGGGTGGGCAGATATAAATGGAATCAGGCCATGGATCAGAATTCATGTTAGTCTATGGGTGGGCAGATATAAATGGACTCAGGCCATGGATCAGATTCATGTTAGTCTATGGGTGGGCAGATATAAATGTTATCAGTTCTATGGGTGGGCAGATATAAATGGACTCAGGCCATGGATCAGAATTCATGTTTCAGTCTATGGGTGGGCAGATATAAATGGACTCAGAACATGGATCAGAATTCATGTTAGTTTATGGGTGGGCGGATATGAATGGACTCGGAACATGGATCAGAATCCACGTTAGTCTATCAGTCCTATCTATCTAGGAGGTTGCTACATGTCTAAACAAGGATCCCCACAGTATCATTACCAGGTATAATCTTAATTGAAGCTGCTGTGTTAGAAATATTGGAAATTACATTTAACCACTTGCCCTCCTGAGGATTTACCCCCTTCCCGACCAGGCCATTTTTTGCATTATGGAGCTGCATTACTTTAATTGACAATTGCGTGGTCATGCAACACCACACCCAAATTAAATTTACGTCCTTTTTTCCTACGAATTGAGCCCGATCTGACAGGGAGTCTTCCTCCCCGTCGGTGATTGGCGGTAATCACCGGCTACGAATGGCGGTGTAGGTAGGCCTTGCGTGTGCCCCCCTACCCGGAAATGCAAAATCACGTGTATATATACACGTGATTTTGTGCCGCGGTGTAGCAGTATATCTGCTATACAGTAGCGGGTAAGTGGTTAAAGAGCAGCATGGGGTTATTAAAAAAAAAAAACATTTATACTCACCTAACTGGATGCAGCATCAGTCTGATGCTGCATCTGTCCTTCACTGCTTCTAAGGCTGAGAACTGATGAATCAAAGACTGCTGATTGCTCAGCTCTCAGTCTTTAGTGAGCAGAGGTGGCGACTGTCAGTCACTGGCTCTCTGCAATGCCCCTCCAGCACTCACTGGAGCAACAGGCTGTGGAGGAGGTGGGAGTGGATGGCACAGGAGACTTGGCATGGGGCCAGGACAGCCCTTAAGAGTGTTTGGAGCCTACTCAGCAGGAGAGAGAGGAGCAGGAGAGAGAGGGTGGAAGATGAAGATGTGAAAGGCTGGAGAGCAAGAGCCTGGGAGGAAGCCCAGGCAGCGAAGCTTGGAAAGAGGAAAGCTCAGGACTTCACTGGGCCCCAGAGCGAGGACCACCTATGCAGCAGGGAAGGAGAGGCCTATCAGAAGGATTGAGAGCAGCCACCGACCCAGCAGCTCATAGGAGACGGACTGAGCAGATCTTCACCGCTTGGCCAGTAAGGGGAAAGAGCAGTCTGATGGGAAATTGGATTAGCTCCTACCCAGGGCTGTCTTTTCTTAAAGTGACAGGCACTGGATCCCCTACCCAGGGACTCACCCAGAACAGCTGGATAAAGAGTATCTAGGGTCTGGAGTGGTACTACAGGAGATGATAACTAGCTCTGCAAAAAGAAGGATCTGTCCTTTTGCTGCTAAAAGAGATTTGAACATAGTTCAGGAACATTGTCCTCTGTTGCCATTACTCTTGGGCATTTTATACAACCCTTATCCCCACCCAAGTTATCAACCTCTAATAAAACCCCAAAAAGCAAGCTCAAGGACTAGTTATTGTCTCCTGGATGAAAACTTCAGCAACTCCTAAGGGGGTAGGGTTGTGCTACAGACACTTCCTGTTTTAGTATGACAGTGCCCAGTGACCATCCCTGTCTTTCATTTGTTTTCCTGCATTGATACCCTGCCACACAGGCTTCCAATGGGGACAAGTGATCTTTGCACACACTACACAGATCAGATCCACTGCTGTCACCATGTAAAAACAAAAAATAAATAAAAAAGCCCTAATAAATGCCCATGCAGCCATCACTGACGAGCATGTAGGCAGAAAATGGTTGCAAAAGAGTGCAGTAGATTAGTGACACTGGGACATAAAAAAAAAGCATGGTGTTAGCACATATGATAGCAGAACACCTGATTGGCTCTGCCTTCTCCCTTTCTATATGGTGCTATATGAATATGTATAACTAGATTACGGTAAGTGTTTTTGTAGCATTGAGGACATATGTACAGACTTCATTCATCCACACATAAAGAAACATAACAGGAATCTCTACATGGAGCCAAATTTATTTACATATTCACTGATTTTAAGACTTTTAAAAATACCAACTCTTTCTCATTTCAGCATCACATGACTTCCTCATTATTTCTATATATAATTAAAAAAAATAATTATGTGTATACATATATACAGCTATTCTGCAATGCGAAAAAGGACTTTATTTCTGGTCCAGGTTTTGTTTGATCCAAGTAAGGCCTCGGACACACTGGGCTTAAAAATGCTGCTTTTACAGGCATTTGGCGGTTTTCTATTTAACAGCCTGTTAGCCTATGTGGTAAGGCACACAAAGGCATTTACAGGTGTATTAGAAGAGAAGCATTTACAGGCTGGAAAAAGAAAAAAACATCACCAGCACGTTCTGGAGAGGAACTTTTGAGCAGCAAAAATGCTTGACGAGCCTAAACACACTTAACCTCTTGGCACCGGGCAGAACGCAAATGTGCAACCTCCCGGTGTCTGGGCCTAGATGCCAAGCGGCCGCATATTTGCGTTATATTAAAAAAACATATATGCCCAGCACACACATTCGGTACTCATGGAAAGTTCCCTATCGAAAGGAATCATGTGACAGCGAATCACGGTGGTCACATGACCCTAAAACCCTGCCTCGCCTCCTGGCTTCTGGAATCCTTAAAGGGCAGGGAGGCGCCAGCGAAAAGGGGTTAAACGCTATATGTGATGGTCACTTGAACATTCATTCCAATGGCCAGAATAGATGAATATTCTGGCCAATGGAATCCATTAACGCTCAAACACTTGACACACCTAAACTTGTGTGCAATACATGGCTTTAGGCCCATTTTTTTAAGCACCATTTTGCTGCCAGGAGCAGGAATAAAAGTGTTCAGAGGAGAAATCATACCCCTCTGTGCATGTCTTTTAAAAGATCCAAATCATAATCGGCTATATTTCACCTAAAACAAAATCCTGCCAGTTTATAACAGATCAGGCAACACAAAACCAGAAAGAATTACTTGCATCAGAGACAATTGAGTACTGTCTGTGATACTTTTTTTATTTGCACTAACAATTTTGAGGACAAGCTTTCGGGGAGTGTCCCCTTGCATCAGAGACAAACTGGAAAAGAAACTTCCTTCAAAGCGGCATTTTTTAAATAATATTTTTCCCCTATATTTGTACTTTCTTGTCACTTTACATCATTTTTATGCATTTCAGGTCAACATTGAGACAGTTCATTACCAACAATTATTATTTAGGGAAAAATAAAAAAACCAGCAAGTCTTTTTTTCTAATCTTGATAAACAGGCTCCAAAAATCTAGTAAGTCTGCAGGCTTCTGTCATGACTTTGATGATGGTTTGGCGCTTTGGCGTTGAGGAAGCTCCTGTTTGGAAGAAAAGCTATCCCAATAGCTGGAGTCTTCTTCTGTCAGTGGAACAGCTGAGGCCATCAGGTCTTTGTAGGTAATGATTGTAAACGGTGTAACTGATCTCATTACATTCTGATAATAAAGAGAAGGGACAGTCCAATATGAAAAAAACAATATCAACCACTATGTACTGTTTGCATCTTAATTTTATACAACAAAATTATACTTATATTTAAATGGGCAGTTTTGGTTACAATCGGATTTTCCTGTATTTTATATGATGTCACCAGAACTAGATTGTGAAAAGAAGTCAAACTGTAAATTTATTTGAAAGGTAAAAAAGTTAGGGGGTTTTGGCAATTTGCCCCCTTTAAAGTTGAACTTACATGCAGATACACAAGACAAATTTAATGCAGCTTTGCATTCCATAAAGCAGAACAAATTTACATCTTAAAAATACTAACAGGTAGGTATGAACAGATGACGAGACTATGTTCATAGTGCCTGCCGTATAACAGTTTAATTCTATTTGTACACGGACAGCCGCACATGCACTTCAGTTTATATACAGATGGATAGGAGTAAATGCTGAATACAGGTTGAAGCAACTTCCATGTTCATGCAAGCTAGTTATGTCACCCATGGCTACCTATATGGAAGACCGAAGACTGGGAGAAGATGGCATCAGATGGAAGGCTCACTGAAAATAAAGCTGAACTCTATGCTTGTATATAGGTGAAATATACAAAGAAGAGCTGTTTTACCTGCCAAGGGTTCTGTAGTTCTGTTTATCCATTCCTGTTGTTTACACAGATCCCTTATACAATACAGGTGGATGACACCACTCACAGTTAAAGTGTATGTAAACCGTAACAATTAACTTCTCTTATTTGCTTTCTTCTGGTCTACTAAATATATCATTGAAAAGTATTTTGTTATCTCTCTCTCATAAATGCAACTTTTTTGCCTGATATTTACGAGACATCATCAGTTATTTTTCTGTACTTGCAGCATGTTAATCACCTGCTGACTGCTCACAGTAAATATATTGCAAGCGGGCAGCTGATCAGCTCTGTCAAATCATACACAGAGTTCTATGTTTGCAAAAACACAGAACACTAGGTACTGTGACCAGTGATATGGAGGTTTCTCCTTCCTGAAAAGCAGGAATCGAAAACCATAGCCTAGCCTAGCGATTCAAAACCGCAGCCAGATAATAAAGAAAAATCAGCACATATTACACACATTACATTTGCTAGGCACACAGTTAAAGTGGAGTTCCACTCACTCTGTAAAAAAATAAAAGTCAGCAGCTACAAAAACTGTAGCTGCTGATTTTAAAAAACAGCCACTCATCTGTTCCACGATCCCGCGTTGCCCCCGCCGCAGCCCATTTCACCAGCTGTCCTGTATTCCAGGAGGCCGGCATCTTCAGTGTGGGCACCCGGCTGTGATAGCTTGCAGCTTCACTGCCGGGTACCCACTGCGCATGTGCGAGTAGCGCTGCACTTCAGGTCCTGTCATCTTTTGGGACCTGTCACGTGTCCCACAGGACTTTGGGGAGGCAGGGTAGGAGGACAACTTCTGTTTCCAATCGCCTAGGCGATTGCGGCAGAAGTGGGAGCGGGTACCTCTCAAATTCGGGTACCCGTTCCCCCCTGCTCCCCAAAGGTGCCAAATGGGGAGCGGGAACCAATCTTTAAAGCTGAACTTTCCCTTTTGGGTGGAACTCCGCTTTAACTTCTTGATTGACCCTATATGTAAACCCCTTCCTAGCCAGCGTCATTAGCACAGCGACAGTGTACAGTATAGTACAGGCCTTGAAATTTCCACTCGTCTGCTCGCCAATGGCGAGTGGAAATTATGGTGGGGGCGAGTGTGTCCCCCAGGGCTGTCTTGCTGAGCAGGCTCAGAGCTCAGGCCGGATCTGTCATTGGCACTGGGAGCCGTCAGACGTCAGACTGTGCTCTCTGCCTCCCCTAGAGTGCAGTACCCGGCTCTGCGAGTGAACAACGAAGTACTGCAACTTTTTATGGGGGGGTGGTGTGCGTGTGTGTACATGTGTGTGTGTCTGTGTGTATGTACATCTGTGTATCTGTACATGTGTCTGCATGTACATGTGTCTGTGTGTGTGTGCGCGTGTGCATGTACAAACATGTGTCTGTGTGTACATGTGTCTGTGTGTTCATGTACATGTGTCTGTGCGTGTGTATTTCTGTGTATGTACATGTATCTGTGTGTATGCGTGTCTGTACATGCCTGTGTGTGTACACATGTGTTTCTGTGCATGTGTGCACATGTTTCTGTGTGTGTATGTACATGTCTGTGTGTATGTGTGTACAGGTGTCTCTGTTTGTGTTTGTTGGTGGTGAGTAACTCCTAAGGCCTGGCTAGTAGCTCAGGACTTGAAATTTTAAGCCCTGGTATCGTATACATCATTGATCACTGTATTTGTCACTGTTGATCTCAGTGTCAGTTAGTGTAGCTCCCAGCCAGCGTCAGCTAGCGCCCAATTGAGCGGCACACATTTACCAGTATAGCATCATAGCGGCGTAAATTCCAGTATACGGTATATAGCATAGTTTGTAGATAGTATATCTTTTGCACAAACCAATTAATATACACTTATTGGGATTTTTTTTTACCAAAGACAAGAAATTTGATTTATTGATTTTTTTTCATTGGATATATTTGATAACAGATAGCAGAAAATATGTTTTTTTCAATCTTTTTTCATATATATAATAAAAAATAAAAATCCCACTGGTGATCAAATACCACCAGAAGAAAGCTCTGTTTGTGTAAAAAAAATTATATAAATTTAATTTGCGTACAGGGTTGCATGACCACGCAGTCCTCAATTAAAGCAGTGCAGTGCTGAATAGCAAAAAAATGCCCCGGTTATGAAAGGGTAAAACCCCACTTCAAAGAATAAAATGATGTCCTCTCTCTGCACCCCCACATTCTGACAGGACATTGAAAGCTCAGCAGCAGACCTATAAGGTCACCTTTTTGTTTACTCTTATCAACATGAAAGCTCATATGCATTAAAGATGAATGAATACTGAACTGCATTAATGTGTGTATCTTATATCTGCCTGTAGTTAAGCTTCTATTCCTTTAATGTATTCAGCCAAATAAAGTTAGTTTGCAAACATAACCTTTCCTCTTCTTTTCCTGTCCTTTGAGAGCTGTCATTAAATGGCCAGCCAGTTTACATTTCTTTTTTTTCCCCATTAACCTCCATATGCCTGTCATCTCATTCAGGAACTCTGGGAGTTCTGCAAGTAGCAAGTTACATTAAATTAGGCACTTTCTGCGTCCATCTGGACATGCATGCTTCTGAAGGTTTGCAGAGGTCACAAGGGATATTCTGTGCAGGAATATCTTGGAGGATGCCTTGTTTCCTCAGTGTATCTCCTGTCTATATATTCATCGACATAGTGCACCGAAGGACTGAGCTGTAAAGAAATCATCTTCAGCCTGCTTTGCATACTAGTAAAAATAGTCAATTGTGTTTGCTACAAAATGTTCACAAGATGGAAATATGCAGGGGTTTTGATAACTGTCCTCCTAGTTAAAAGTTTAACCTCCCTAGCGGTATGATTATTTCAGATATTTGGTGCTGAAAGCGGTACCATTATTTTGCATGGAAATATGTTGTTTTTTTATTGTAGGCCTGTAATTCTTAGGAATAACTCACTGAAATCTGTCCGAACAAGAGTCTAGTAAACATCCCGGGCATGATAAAATTTGAAACACGAAATCATAAATTATAATTTAATAAATAATCATAAAAAAATAATAATATAATAATAATACATTTAATTCAATAATGTAATCAAACCAAAAACACTGAAATTTGAAATAGAGCGCCAAGTTCACACATCGCTGAGCAAAGTCGCAAAATCGTTTTCAGTGTCTGATGACGAATTTCCCCACGAATCATTATCACTCAATTCTGCAAGTGGTTCTGATTTACTATCGCTGTTCTCTAGCTGATCTAAACCCGCTTTTGACCTAAAGGGACGCTTTTTGAACGCCATGGACATTTCTCAGTTTCCAGCCAGAAAGAACAGTAAAAATGCAGGCAGGGCACAGGACAAAGCACTAGGGACAATATGTATGTGAAATGGGTTGAAACAGCAATGTTTTACTATGTAAAATTTGTTTGGAAAAATATGACATTTTTTAAAATTTTCAAATTTCCCGCCGCCGCCGTGCGGCGGCGCCCGTACGTCCCGACGTCGCAGGGACCGGAACACAGAAGCCGGATGCCGGCATCGGCCGGAGGAGATGGCCGGGGACGCTGCAGGGGACACATCACGGCAGCGAAGGACAAGGTAAGCGCTGCAGGGAATCTCTATGCAGCGCCGCATGGTAAGCCCGAGTGTAGCTGGGGGTTACCGCTTTTGGTACTGACATTTTACCCCGAGCTACACTCGGGAATACCGCCAGGGAGGTTAAGACAACTGTGCTTTTTTTTTTTTTTTATAAGAAAGTCCTCAAATTATCCCCCTTCCTCCCCACCTTTACAAACACCCCCACCACATCTTCTTACTTACTTCTCAAATAGAGCTGCATCCTGTGCATTGTTTATTCCACCTCTGGAACAAGCCATTTAGTTCCAAAGAAGATTTCTGATGGAGGTGGGGTTAACACTGCAAAGGGCGGTGAAACGCTACAGGGGTAAGTAAGAAGTTAAAGTGGAGTTCCAGCTGAAAAAAAAAAAAGTCAGCAGCTACAAAATCTGTAGCTGCGGACTTGTAAAATAAAGCCATTTACCTGTCCCTCAGTCCAGCGGTGTCCTCACCACAGCTGGTTTCACTGGCCGTCTTCTCTCCCTGGCATCGGCATCTTCAGTGTGGGCACCCGGCTGTGACAGCTTGTGGCTTCACAGCTGGGTGCTCACTGCGCATGCACGAGAAATGCTGCGCTTTGTGAATGGCCCCGTAGTCTTCTGCAACCTGTCACGTGTCACACAAGAATATGGGGAGGGAGGACCACTTTCCGTTTCTGATCGCCTAGGCAATCACAGCGGAAACCTCTCAAATTTGGGTACCCGCTCCCCAAAGTTGCCAATCCTTAATGAGGAGCGGGAGACAAGGCATTAAAGTGAAACTTCCCCTTTTGGGTGGAGCTCCGCTTTATGGTGGGCGTTAGTGTAATGCAGGCCATAGAAGTCGAAAAGGGAGGGCCTAAAATCGGCGCCGATTTTCGGATCAGTGGGCGAGGTCGGCAGATTTTTCGGTATTTTGGCCGTTTTTTTTTTTTCGGTAATGGAAAATCGGCCGATTTTTGCCGATCGGCCGATTTTCGCGGCAATTTGGGGCGACATTTTTTTTACCGATATTAACTGCGCATGAGCAGTGACCTGCAAGAGGAAGACAAAAAGAAGAAAAAAGAAGAAGAGGAAGAGGATGAAGAAGAGGATGAAGAAGAGGATGAAGAAGAAGAGGGATGAGGATGAAGAAGAAGAGGATGAGGATGAAGAAGAAGAGGATGAGGATGAAGAAGAAGAAGAAAAGGATGAGGATGAAGAAGAAGAAGAAGAAGAGGATGAAGAAGAAGAAAAGAGGATGAAGGAAGAAGAAGAGGATGAGGATGATGATCCCATGAAGAAGAGGATGAGGATGAAGAAGAAGAAGAAGAAGAGGAGGAGGAGGAGGATTGAGGATGAGGAAGAAGAAGATGAGGATGAAGAAGAAGAAGAAGATGAGGATGATGAAGAAGAAGAAGAAGAGGATGAGGTGGAAGAAGGAAGAAGAGGGATGAGGATGAGTGTTAGAAGTAAGTCAAGAAGAAGAGGAAAAAAAGAGGATTGAGGATGAAGAAGAAGAGGATGAGGATGAAGAAGAAGAAAGAGGATAGAAGAGGAGATGAAATATGAAGAAGAGGGATGATGATGATGAAGAAGAAGAAGGGGATGAGATGGAAAAAGAAGTGAGGATGCAAGAAGAGGATAGGTGAGGACTTTCTTTTAATTTTTCAGACCAGTGTCTCTCAGACTTCTGAAGGTTTTATCATTTGTTTCCGCCTATGAAATCTGTTTCTAAATGTCAAGAACTTAAAATAGCAGAGCTTCTTCAGGCACTTTTTGCTGGCTGTAGAAGGGATGAAAATCGGCCGATTTTTTTTTACCATTGAATGGCAACGTGGCTTGAAACGACCGAATTTTTTCATTTTTTAAAAGAAAAATCTGCCGTTTTTCTCCCCATCTATGGCCTGCATAAGTTAGTTTAGGAGGAGTGAGGGGAGATGCAGGTAGGTGGACTTTCTTTTAATTTTCAGACCAGTGCTCAGACTTCTGAAGGTTTTACAGCCTATGAAATCTCTCCAGATTAAACATTGGCGTGTCAAGTGACCCAAAGTGCTTACTATTAAAATACAACTATAGGCACAACTTTTCTTTTCATTTTGGATACAGCATGTGAGGGTTATAACTCCTGTCAGATTTTTTTCTCCATCTCTGTCCCATTGTAGAGATTTCCCTTCAGTTCCTGTCCCATAGTCAAACAGGAAGTGAGAGTAAATCCATGCAAATAAAGGGAATTTCTTTGGACATCCCAGGTCACCAGAACTAGTGTCCCCATTGGAAGATTTCCACTCTATTACTTTTCTGGGGACAACCAGATATTTGGGATTTTCTTTTACTTTCAATGATAATGGTAAACAGGACAAACAGGGAGGGTGAATCTCCTCACAGACAGAACGAGAGAATGAAATACTGACGTGTTCTAAACCCTCTCCACTTTATCCAAACTGAAAAAAAAAATTCCATTTAGTTTTACTTTAAAGTGAACATATGGCTAAGCTATGGATATTCAAGTATTAACATATTCCTAACAGCAGTAAGTAGGCTAAAATGAAGCCCACCTTTGTAACTACAGGCACTGTGGAGCACTGTGGAGTTCAACCCAGAAGCAATGAAATTCTATCATCTGTTCTGCTCAACTTAATCCTCATTAATACGTGGCCATGCTGACCAATGCTCGCTTGCCATTGTGCCAAGTATAATGCTTACAGGCTCTGAGGCAGTGTATGGATCATCAAGCCAAAACCTTTTCTTTTTTTTAGTTTTGGATCGAGTAGGCATGCACTAAAACCTCTGAGTTGAATTTTTTTTTGCTGTGTGTCCTTTCAGCACACGTTTACAGATGCTAGTTTACCTTTGAAGTCTGTTCTCTGTTTGTATTTGTGTCCCCCAAGGCAACAGCAACATGATGCTTGTCATCCAGGAGCATTTCCTATAAAATTCAATCAAAATTAATTATTGTTCCCTGAACACTGGAGTCCAACATATCATACAATCTACAGCAAAGTGTTTGCATTCTGATGCAATTTAAATATTGCAAAATAAATCCGGCACTAGCTACTGTTTATGTAGTGGGGACCTGACTTACAGACTATGGACTTCCAACCGCCCGCCTCTGTCCAATGGGAAAGACTTCATGACAGCAGAAGACTCTCATATGACAGGGGGGTGATGGCTGAAAGGCCTTAGTCCATATGTCAGATCCCCTGGAACCAAGTCATACTAACTTCAGAGAAGCCAAAAGAGAGATAATAGAGGCACTGCTTATTGAGGTGTCTGATCTTGCAGACAATATTTACTATAAAATGTTAGATATGGATGACATTTTTTCTTGCTTTCTGCATCCACCACTAACTTCACATTGCCAAAGGAAAGGTAATTTTGTGTTTTGATATAATCCTGTACATCTAGCATAGATTACATAAATTAGTCTGACGGAGGAAAAGTATATACTTCAAAAACCAACAAAAAGATTAAAGATTGTAGATCGATATGCACAGCTGCCGTGCAGGAATTCCTATATGAATTATTTACAGACAAAATGATTCACGTGGAAAGATGGTGAAAGCAGAGCATAAATAAAACAAAGAATAATGCTTGGATCCACTGGGAGATGAATGCTTCCAGAACATTCATAGCAACTACAACCTAACATGGCCCAACTTCTTAGCCCTCCAGATCTAAATGAATAAGGTTTTTATATTTGTAGTCGCAAAACATAAGAATAAAAATGTGAGGGCTCTGGGGAAGAAGCAAGGCCTCGAAACGCGTCAACAAGTTGGAGGTCAAAATATCCCATTCCAGACATCACGCTCTGTTTTTGGACCTTGCTGTACTTCATATGATGTGCCTTTGACATTTTATCCTTTGTGAGTATATTACCACTTTTTATACAATAAATTAATTTTTAAGGTAATGCACTAGGCCTGTGCACCCTGTTTGTTTCTTTGCATGCATAAGAATAAATAAATAAAAATTCCAGGATAGGCAAAAAAAAAAAAATCACTCTTTAGTATACCCCTCTACACAAAACACTAAACAGCTAATACAACTTTGAAAATCCTTACCATTTAGGAGAAAAGTCCAATTGAATTTTCACAACCTCATCTCTGTAATTCAAAAGATAAGAGCATCTGCTCTGCCAAGAAGGAGGTGTAACAGCTGGGATTACATCATATCCTCTCCTCTCTCTTTGCATTAAAAGGAAATTACAGTTTCCATCAACCACAGAGAATTGTAGTGAATGTAGGCGGGTACACTAGACCTGTACAGGTTAAATGTGCTTGAGAGTCTTGGTCCACCCACCGCTGCAACTGGGGCTGAATTTAGTAGTGCGCCGAAATGAAAATTCTTAGAACAAAACCAAAAATTCAGGACGCATTTGGCCGAAAACCGAAGTGGACAGCTTTTTTTTTTTTTTTTTTTTAAATATTTTTATATATAATTGTAATATATATTTTAATTAATATCATGAGTTGAAATGAATATGAATTTATTTTCAGCACCTTTTTGGGCAATAGGCTGCTTTCACACTGAGCACTGCATTGGTTTAAACCAGGCCTAAAATGCATCGAAAACGCATCAAAAATACATAAGCGATGCGTTTTTTATGCATTTTTAATCTGCCCAGCAACAAGTTGGCTAAAGAAAAAAAATAAAAAAAACGCATCAAAAACATGCATGCAAAAACACACTGCAAAAAGCAATGCAAAACAGACAAAATGCAAACTGCACTGGTGTGAACCAGGCCTGAAATGCATTGAAAACCTATCAAACGGGCACCTATGCTGCATTTTGATGCAGTTTTTTTAGTCACATGATCTATGAAAAACGCACTCTAAACATGGTAAAATTGCACACTTTTGGCGACCATTAATTGTCACTTTTTTTCCTATTGGCAAAATGCCGATAACACTATATACAGCCAATACATTTCGGCCTCCGATATATTGGTGCATCTCTAGCTGAATTACATCACTGCTTCCTGGAGATAGAACTACAGAAGGGATGTGCCAAGACCAGTGGCTGGGGGAATAGGAGGCAGAGATGACACTGGTCTTACAAACAAGAAACCAAAGAAAATTAACCTTTGATTTGAAAACTAATAGGCTATTTCTGAGCAACTACTCAGTGAACCGGAAGATGGATGATATATTCAGTGAAGGCAGGAAATCAGCAACAAGGACAAAAAATGCAAACTTTTGTTTATGCACCTGCCTCTTTCCCTGGCAATTTCACTAGCGATGGAAGAATAGGCCTCAGGCAGGGAAGCAGCCTTGGTACCCCCAACCCTTCTAATGAAACTGGAAAGGATTCCGTTAGGCACAGAGAAGCCATCCCATTTGCATTGTCTGCACTGGAATCCCCACATCAGACACCAACTGCCTAGGAGTATGTGCTTCCTTGTGACATGATAGGCAGGTGTGCAGCTTTGACTAGTTCACTATCTGTCTAGTTTACTGCAGTAATTGTAACTGGACTTTGAGGACGACCACTTGGCCTTTGGCTCCTGTTTAGGTTGTCATTTGGATTATGCAGGCTTTATGCCCCCAGTGCAAATAGGAAGGTTCACTTCTCTTAGAGGAATCATTTCCAATTTCAATTAAAGGGATGGGAGGACTAAAGATGCAACCTAACATAAGGCTCCAAATTTATATATGTGATGGCTGCACTAGCTTTTCTTTTTTTCAGACTTTTCTCCTTTACTGTCATCTGATGATCCTGCAAATAACACACCTCCCGTGCCTTCATGTCTACATTTTTATCTATTGTATCTTTGGGGGCAGCTAAGGTTGCCACACTGGCTGGACTTCAAACATGTCTGCCATTGGTTATCTCTATTATTATTATTATACAGGATTTATATAGCGCCAACAGTTTGCGCAGCGCTTAACAAAATGAAGGTAGACATCATACAGTTACAATACAATTTGGTACAAGAGGAAACAGAGGGCCCTGCTCATCAGAGCTTACAATCTATTACATGGTGGACCGATGGAAACAGTAGTTTACACAATACAGGCAAGGTTCTTATTGCTTCTTTTCAGCTCACAGGAAGGGACTGGAAAGCACACTGCATCTCTGACATGATGCAGAGATGTTCTCAGCCTGAAGAGTGAAAACAAATGCAGTCACCATATTTAAGGACTGGTTATCTGCAGTATATTCCATTTTTGTTTTTGGGCTTAGATACAATTTAATCTCTTTGACTCTGCATGTTAATATAAGAGCCCATTCACAGTAGCAGCGTACACTACCGCACTGCCACTGGTGTGCAATAAAAAGCTGCAGTGCAGATAGGCTAAAAAAAACACATGGCACTGTTTACTTTTCTATGTGAACTTTATTGAAATGTCACAAAATTATATGTCATTAAGTTCTATTGACCACATTGTGATGAGATGCGGTGAATGCAACACATTTCCCTGGAAAAAAGAACTGTTCTTTGTACTGTGGTGCACACCACCACAGCACAGAGGTCTGAACTAATATGGCAGGACACAAGGCTTTTTGCTTGGTCTATGTTAAGGGATTGCACTGGGCAAAGTTGAACAATTCGGGCTAGCCTGGTGTGAATGGGGCCTTGGGAAAACTCAGCTCCAGTGATACCAGTAAACGGTCAACTGGTACAGTCAGAATGTCACATCCTTTTTAGCTGTTGTATTCTCTGGTTTTCCCCTTATCTTGACAGCTCGAAAATATATGCAAAGCAAAAATGTCACTCACACCTGACTCTCCAGTGAGTACCACCATTTAAGTGTAGATCTATTGGAAAAATGATAAATGATAAAAACATGCACTAATGCACTCACTTTGATAAAATGAAGTATTTCATGTAAAACAACCCAGTAGGGATGCATTGGTAGATCAGCCGCTGAAAACAGGGTTATTGGTGTTTTGCTGAACGAAACAAAAAAGTGCCGGTAATGGCATGCTATGTTCTATAGACTTCAATGCAAAATTGCCCCCTAGTTACTTTAAAGCGAAGTCACGTCCGATAGACTTTTAATGCACAGTCGCATCCTATAGATTTAATGCAAAGTTGCGTCCCACAGACTAATGCAAAAACACCCCCTAGTGACTTCAATGCAAAATCATGCCCCATAGACTTCAATGTAACCCCCCCCCCCCCCAATTATGTCAATGCAAAATAATTGCATCCCTCTAACTTCAATGCATGAATGCAATGAATTTTCAGTTTTGGCATTGGATTTTTCATTTCGGTGTACCACTACAGCCCAAGTCCCTACATGATAATGGTCATTGGCCGATAGACTGATGTAGAGGAGAGCCAATTAAACACAGCAGAGTATGTCAAAGAAGCGGCCAGGCATAGCAGAGTAGTACAGGGAAGCGGCCTGATCTGATGTCCTAGCTTTCCAGTGACCTAATCTCCTAAAACAGTCGCGGTAACATACAAGAAGGAGACCTTAAGAGAACGTGGAGTTTTACAGTTTCCAAACATACTAAACAGTTGCATGCACAGGAATACTGCTTTGTTCTTTACATATTTATGCCTGATGGTTGTGTATTTCATTAAATTTCTTTTAGTTGGGAAATGTTACCTCTTCCATTCTTACCTCAAAAACCCAGTTCTCAGGCTCCTCATCTAGCCACATTCTGGTCTCTGTGTAAACCTTACCGACCTCCATAGTTATGGGCGACACTTCAAACTCAACACGCTGCAAACTAAAGCCTAGTCCGACCCCTATGGCTTTTATAAAGCTTTCCTTTAGAGCCTAGAACCAGAAACACAGAATCCGCAAAGTTCAGAATTTATTGTAACAAAATACCATACATTATTTACTCCACTCTTTTCTATTATCAAAACCTGCACATATCTGCTCGCTCATCCTTATGAATGTATGAAAATAAATAATTAATAGTGTCTTGTCAGCAAAATAAAAAAAAACCCCCACAAGAGCATTATGTGGCTTGTGTCAATGCTGCGGTAAACCTCTGTACTCTCCACAGTAAGAAACATATGTTAGTTTCTGTAACATTACACTGCTTAGCAGGATATTGCCAGATGATTAGGGCAAATGCAAAAAGCTTGTTTAAGCACCACTGGCGCATTCAGTAGATGTCATTCAGAAAAAAATGCAAAACAGTGTCTACAGGTTCATGAGGTTAAAGAAGAATGCCAGATAAACAACTAAATACAGATTTGAAATGCACACATATGAGCATCCAAAGGATTTGTATTTTTGTCCATCCAGTCCTGAGATTTACACAGCCATGGAATTTACACAGCCTCTGCAGCAATTATGAGATTGTCTAAAATGATAACGGTCACTCCCCAAAGCAGGCAGACTTAGGTTTTGCTGCTGGGTCAAAGGTAACAGGGTGATGATGGTAAGGTTCTCTCTCTCTTTCACAACGAGAATAAAAGCAGACTGCTACGCACTCTCCCATTCCCTGCCCACAGTCCCATACTGACATCCTCCTACAGCTGAGTGGACAGTCTGCTGCCCAGCCAGTAAAAAATTAATCACCAGGCTGCCTGCACACTAACATTCGATAGACTTGAATTGAATGTTGCCCCTGCACTTGGGGTTTATCCCATTCTAGCCTGTGGGATGTTAGTGTATGGCCACAGGTGTCTGGCACATCATTTGACTGGCCATGCTATAGACATGTTCAAGGAGGTAACTAAGGACTTGCAGGGAAGCTTAATGCAATTTCATGTATTGGTTGGAGCTAGGGAGAAGGGCTGGCCAATTTTTTTTTTTTTTTTTAAAAGGTAAACTTGTCCATTTTACAGTGGTTGTAAACCTCAGACATAAAATCTGAACAAGCATATCCCCCTATAGTGTGTACTTGTCTCAGTCCAGAGCAGTGTCATTTCTCTCTGCTGCCTTGCTCCTCTGCTATTTGAACAAGACAAGTTTTCTTGACACCAAGAGGTAAAAAAAAGTGATAGAGAAGGGACCTCCAGCACACAGACTCTGATTGACAGCCTCAGTTCTGTTCCTGTGTGCTGTGTGAAGTGGGGGGTGTCCTTTTCCACCAAGCAGTGTTCAAAGCTCCTCACTGAGCCCTGCAGTGTGTAATTTCAGCTACCAAACCCGGCTTCCTGAAAGATCAGACAAACGTTTTAAATTCTGGACTTTGCAGGGCTGTGGAGAAGAGAAGACTGAAGATAAACAGGTACAACTTATGTAAGAGGATTTGTTTCTTCTCTGTGTATCACCTGAAGTTGGTCACTTCCCTGGATATATGTAACCACTTTAACACTACAGAGGTGTCATCTGCAGAAGACAGTTACTGCATTTAGGGTTTTTTTTAAGCGTTTATTATTCAAGTTTAGAAATACACAGCAAATGCTTCTTTAAAAGATCTTTCATGAAAATAAAAGATCTGCTTTGCACATCACCCCTTAAAAGGAACTTCAGCCCAGCTTTTGATGCTTCCAGGTGAAGTGGGTGATATTACCGACACAAAATCTGTCTAGAATTTTATTAAGCCATTTGTATTTCAAGAAAGAGTCGCTTTGCAGTGCATGTCAAGACACAAACATTTTTCCTACAGTAGCAGTAGTTTTGGACAGAGTGGGGACAGCTTGGAACCCCTGTTGTGTATTTGCTGCTACCTGGGGCTCCATAAGAGAGATGTAACCTTACTTTTACTGCTATCCAGTGCTGCATTACAGAGATTTACCCTCACTTCCTGTCCTGCAGATACTGGTGTCACCAGACAGGAAGTTGAGGGGTGTGCCCAAGCGGGACACAGGCAGAAATATAAATCTGACAGATGCTCCAACCTTCTCTAAGCCCTGGTTCACAACGGTGCGACTTGTCATGCGATTTGATAGTTCCAAATTGCATGACATGTCGTACCCTATTGTCTGCAGTGGAACCGCTCAAATCGGTGCGGCTCTGTCAGAGTCACATGGATTTTGAAAATAATTCCTGCACTATTTTCATTGATTTCAAGTGTGACTTGCATAGACATCTGTGCATGAAGTGGCATAGATGTCTGCCAAGTCACACTGACCTGCGGCTTTGAAATCATGCTACTTCCCTTGAAGTAGCATGATTTCAAAACTGCAGGCCAGTACGACTTGCCTGACATCTGTGCGACTTCACGTACAGATGTCTATGCAAGTCTAACCTGACATTTCAGTCACAAGTCACATTCAGTGTGAACCAGGGCTTACTCTAAAAAAAAAAAACAAAAAAAAAAAAAAAAATCAAACAAAATAAAACATTGTTCAGGGTGGATTTGATTTAAATCATACTGATTTAAATCACGATTTAAATCACTAGTCAGTAAGGCTTGATTTAAATCCTAGTTTTCTACATAGACTAATTCTGCTGGTATAACTTTAATATGCAAGTAGATGAAGATTTTTAGAATAACAACTTTTCATATTAGTTTTTTTATCCCCAGTTTAATAGGTTAATCATTCATATTTGGACAACTTTTCTGTCGTACTTAGGAAGAGAAAAATAATCATTACCTTAATAATAACAATTTAAATAGATTTATTCAACTGAAACAATAACATTCCAGCATATGTTATTTGCGTAAACAAACATCCATGTTTGGTAACTAATTTGGATAAACAAAATATATGTATTTTAAGAAACTTAGACTGTCAGCCCCTTCCTCCTCACACTTAGTTTCACTTTCTTCTTGTGCAGATCTATTCCACTACAATCAGAAAAATATTGTTTCTATTCACTGAACTTCTTGAAACTTAGCACTGAAGGGGTTGATTCTGTATTCACAGGTTTGTAGAAGTTAGGATTAAGGTCTTTTTCTTAACTCTGTTCATGTTATAACATTTTTGCTGTGAAGAAGAGGCATGTGATCTCCGCTGAGTCAAATTCAGTTTTAAGAACTGCAAAAGTAAACCGAGCATCTGTGATAACATCTTGTAGGCAGAGAAACTGCCCAATAATCTTACAAAAACCTCTGGAAGAGCATGACATTGTGAATGGATTCATGGAATTTATTTACCAAAAAAATTAAACATATACAGCCTTATTCTACATAATTAAAAAAATAATCTTTATTTCATGATGGCATAACCTTTGGATGGTAATATATTTTCCTCAAAAAGCATTGTATTTAAAAAAAATCTGATTTAAATAAAAAAAATCTAATTTTTTTTATTTTTTTTTTTAAAAAATCATTGATTTTTATCCACCCTGACATTGTTGCAGTTGGTGATCTTGCCTCCCTTCCCTGTCTGGTAAAACATTGTCAGCGAGACCAGAAGTCAGGCGAAATCTCTCTAAGGGTCACCAGGGGGGCAGTAAAAACTGGACAGAGGTTCCGACCCTTCTCTATACAAAACTAAGAAATACTATATACATTTTACATGCTCAGTTTCCCTGTTTGCTGCAGTTGGTGTTGCCAAAATATGTGAAATAATATTTAATTAATATTAAAAATATTAATGACCGGTTTCATTGAAAAATGTATGCTGATGTCAGATAATCCTTTGCTCTATGTACTGCTGTGGTGATTTACCCAATGCCTGTAGAACATGTCTAGCTGAGCCCAGTCGCCAGCCATGCTCTTGATGGAGTGCCATTCTCTCTCGGTGAACTGACGATGCATGAGACGAAAGAACTCTTCAGTCGAGCCGCTGCCTGCAGAATTGCAAACATAAATTTAAATGGTTGGGCTAAACACAATATTTTTTTCACTTTTAACAAGTAAATGTGACCTTGCAGTAATATGCTCTGGCTCAGTAATGGGAGAATCAAGCTGAAGATTTACCGCAGCGCTCCTTCCCTGTAATTTATATAAATTACTTTGTATAGTACAGTATTGGAAGCCTCGTTCTGAGAGCAGGACTAATGGCACCTGGAAACCCAGCCAGGCGCTGCACTGTAGTATCAAATAAAACATTGCTTATACATGAAGGGCTTCAAAAAATGCATCCACTCAAGCAAGCTAAAAACAGAAATATCAGAGCAATAAAAATAAAAAGTATGAAACAGCTCATAACATGGTGCTGTAACAAATATTAAAGCTCAAATCCACGAACATATAAAGATACAAATTCATGCAACTGTGTATCCAGTATCTACTGTATGTATGTAAAAATATATTGTCAATTTTATCTGGATGATCTTTTGTTGAGAGCACTGTGTATCAAACAATTGCCTTTTTTTTATTAAAATACTTTTTTGTTTTTTATTTCAAATCCTGAACCCTCTTGGAAGACAATTCCTGTCCACGTGCATTCCAGTGATGGCTGCATAGCATTTCTAAGGGTGGGTTTCCTGAGTGACAACAGTGGGCCATAACTGTGTAATATGTTTCCAACAGATGTCTATGTGACATGGTGACAATGCAGATGCACAAGTGGGAGACGAGAACAGAGCAAGGTCACCCTGTTACAGGAAGTGCCTGAATAATTATCATCATGGCAGAATCACCAGGTATTACTTAAAAAAAGCTGCAGATGTTTCGTCATACCAACTTATTCATACAATCTATGAATAAGTCGGAATGACGAAACATGTCAGGAAGTGATGTCAGACAACGTAGCCGGAAATTCTGAATCGGCCATCTTGGAAGTGATTTATCCATCTGGGAGATAGTGAGCTTTATACTTTTATAAAAAGTGTATACTTGTGAGCTACTATGATTAAAGAATGTTTACAATTAATTATTTAAATAAATTGGTGCATCAACACATGAAACACATACTCAAATCATTATGTGAAAAATAGACAAAAAATAGAATAATATATGTGTTGCGCTCCTCAAAATATTATTACATAATATATATTGTAATGTATATTTGAAATAAATTAAATAAATAAATAAAATAAATATAATTCATAATAATATGATGTGAATAAAGTGAAAAACGTGCCCAGTGCTGTGGTTAATATAGAGATACCTGGAAAATGATGATTGTGTAATATTCAAAAAAATATTATCTATTATGCCACAAATCAAATAAATAAAGAAAAACCTCTTTGATTGATAATAAACGAGTGCAAAAATTATGCATGTGCAAAAATAGCAAATATTGCCTTAAACACTGAAAAATGTATATATATATTATATGTGATGAAAAAAAATGTATATAACACCCAATTGATTATATAAAAAAAATATTAATAAATAATACTAAAAATTATGCAGATCATGAATAATTATCAGTCCACTTGTACCACTAGAGACGATAATTGGAATTACATGCTCTAAATGCTTATTTAGGCTGAAAAGTAATCGTCCCAATCTATGTGGATATATGGAAAGTCTAAAGATGTGGTAAAACTGTAGTGTTGCTTTCCTTCCACTAGATGGCCTCCCAGTTTCTTCCAAGTATGACGGATGAGTGGATAGATATGGGTATCTCCCCTCGTGTGATTTTGGGTCTGTCTCCTCTTCCTCCCCTTTGCTCCTCCGAATTAGGCCATGAAAAAGAAGCGAAATCCCCACATGGTGCTTATATTTATTTTAGAAAGATTTTTAATATGTCTCCTGACAATTGCACACTCACATTGCCAAATCAATAAATACAGAGCGTTTTTTTTAAAATTTTTGTGCCCGCGCACAAGGACAGTACTCGCCGTTCCTACGATGTTGGCGTCGTGACGTCAGAGCCCCTCCCCTACGCGTTACGCCACAGGGTCACGTGGCTTCCTCAGGGGGATGTGATACGACGCCATGACGCTGTCGCCCTTATATAGGCAATTTCAGCGCCATTTTCCCAAAGTCCGCACGGAGGCGGCCATCACTATGGGGCCAAATACTTATTGTTAGTCCTGCGATATATAGATATCCATTTATATATTTTTTATTAATATATCAACAATTTTACACCCTTTTACTCTGACTTCATGTCACTAGTACTGTAATCGGGCCGGGCACCATCAGATACAATGACTATATAAAAAAAGACTTTAATCGAGCATATAGCATGTAAATAATCATGGCACTTGTAGTGCCTCCATTTAAATTTAAAAAATGTTTTTAAAAATATTTTTATTTGATAATTTTAAATTAATGTAACTGTGAGAAGGAACTAATTAACTGGTTTTAGGGGAAAATTAATAATATGAATATTTATGTGTAAATGTTTTCATTAAAAAATAACAATAGGAATAAAAATAAAATAAGAAAAAAAAAAAAAATATAAAAAAAATAAAAATAAAAAAATAAAAAAATATAAAAAAATATATAATATTAATAAAATTAATATAAAAAATAAATATAAATATAAAATTAAAATAAAATAAAAATAAAAATAATAATAAAAAAAATAAAAATAAAAAATAAAAATAAATAAAAATAAAAATACAAATAAAAATAAAAATTAAAATAAAAAAACAATAAAATAAAAATAAATATAAAGATGAAAATAAATATAAATATAAAAATAAAAATAAAGATTAAAATGAAAATACTAATAATAAATGAAACTGAATAAAATTAAATAAAATTAAATTAAATAATAAAAATAAAATCATATGATATATATAATAATATTAAACTAAAAATAAAAATAACAATAAAAAAAAGATAAGTATAATGTAATTTTTTATTACTATTAATCATTTATTTTTTTTATATTTACGATACATATGTGGATGTTTTTATATTTATTTTTCACTCCACATATAAGAAACATGAGTTCAAAGAAATACAAATATATAGTAGGTACATTGATGACATTTTCTAATATTTATTTTAAAGGAAGACCTAGAGGATTTTTATGAGAACCTCAATAAATTTTTGAAAATAACATAACCCTAAGTTGGAACATAGACGAAGTTTGTAAACTTTTTGGATATACAAATGGTAAAAGAAGGAAACATGATATATACAAAAAAATAAAAGAAATAAACAAACAGACCGCAATTTTTTATACCCAACCACAAGCTGTCATTATCGTTGGATTAACAATATGCCTAAGGGTCAATTTATAAGGCTCAAAAGAAATTTTTTTTTTAAAAAAAAAATTGACTATTAGTACAAAGTGAAGTACTTAAACAAAGATTTATAGATAAAGGATATGCACCAGACAAAATAAAATTTTAAATAAATACAGTAGGTCACATGGATAGAGACATGATGATAAAGAATAAAAAATATAAGCGCAAAAAATATTGAGGGTACCAATTTGGGTTTATTTAATAAACAATATATAAAGCGGTACAAAAAAATCTCCAAGCATTAAAGTTCTAAAGCTAGACAAACACCTAAAAGACACAATACCCGATAAACCAAAATATTATAAAAGAAAGCACCAAATCTGAGAGACAGACTATTTTAAAAAAAATTTTGGAACCTCCCCATTCTAAGACCATCAGTTTAAAATTTTTACAGGGTGTAGGTTTCTATACATGTGGACGTTTTACAATATAGGGTTCGCAATAACCCCAGGCGAAGATTTACACATTTAGTAACACCAATAAAACAAAAATATAAATTTATCAAACAATTTTTTTTTTGCGACACGAGAGGAGTCATTTATGCTATAAATTTGTTTTTTTTGTAATTACTTTTTATTATAGGCAGAACCAAAAGGGCTTTTTTTTAAAGGATTAAAGAGCATGTATACAACATAAATAGAGGTTACAAACATCATCACGTATCAAAACATTTCCGCTTTCCACAATTCAGATGCCTCCCATTTACAAAAATTCTGGGAATTGAAAGGCACATTAAACATTGGAGAGGGGACAATTTTATTAGAGAGATTAGTAAGAAGGAGTCTAAATGGATATATGAAAAATTTTTGGATTTTTTTAATCAATAAGGAATTTGACTTATCCTGTTTCATCAGTAATTATTAAAAAAAAGAGTAATCATTTTAGGAGATTAAGATATATATATTTATATTAATATATTTTATATACCAATTTTATTTTTTTTTGGGTGTGTACGTTCAACATATTAATTTTTATTGTGGGTTTGTACACACAATTACAACGTTACTGTGGTAGTAACTTTAGCTAGGAGTGGTGCAATTGGTTTTAATGGTTTCTTTTTTTTTTTTAACCTGAAATATAGAAAAACAATTTTTGACAAACTCATGTTTCTTATATGTGGAGTGAAAATTATTTTATAGTAATAACATCCACATATGTATCGTGATTACCGTATGATCTAATAGTAAAGGGATTACATCATACTTATTTTTATTTTTTTTTATTATTTTTTTTTTTTTAGTTTAATTTATTATTATAAATATCATATATTTTTTTTTATTATTTAATTTAATTTTATTTAATTTTTATTCAGTTTCATTTATTTTTTAATATTTTCATTTTTTCTTTATTTTTATTTTTATTTTTATATTTTATATATTTATTTTCATCTTTATATTTTTTATTTTTATTTGTTTTTTTTTTAATTTTTTTAATTTTATTTTTATTTGTATTTTTATTTTTATTTATTTTTATTTTTATTTTTTTTATTATTATTATTTTTATTTTTTTTATAAAAATTTTTTTAAAACATTTTTTAAATTTAAATGGAGGCACTACAAGTGCCATGATTATTTACATGCTATATGCTCGATTAAAGTCTTTTGTTTATATATAAGTCATTGTATCTTGATGGTGCCCGGCCCGATTACAGTACTAGTGACATGAAGTCAGAGTAAAAGGGTGTTAATTGTTGATATATTAAAATAAGTAATATGTCCTGGATATCTATATATCGCAGGACTAACAATAAGTATTTGGCCCCATAGTGATGGCCGCCTCCGTGCGGACTTTGGGCCAAAAAATGGCGCTGAAAATTTAATGGCGTATATAAGGGCGACATTGCGTCATGGCGATCGTATCACATCCCCTGAGGAAGCCACGTGACCCTGTGAACGTAAAGCGTAGGGGAGTCGGAGGAGGGTAGGGGAGGGGCTCTGACGTC